CACTTTCTGTCAGGATCCCCACAGCCCACCCCTAGAGATCAAGGGTTCTTAAATAGAAGTCCAGATCGTATGTATAGTGTCTAACCTGATAGTTTTGTCCAGAAAATAATTTTAATTGTAAAAAGATTTTATTTTCTTTCATGCCTGTATATACATAGAGATGTTAACGTCCGTGCATGTGGCACCTGCACAGTCCGGAAGCTACATATCAGATCTCCTGCAGCTGGAATTACAGGTAGTTGGGAGCCTCCAACTACAGTGTAGGTGCTGGGAACTGAACTCTGGTCCTCTGAAAGAGTAGTGACTGCTCTTAGCTTCTGAGCCTGTTTTCTGGTGCCCAATATTTTTAATTTTCATATTATCAATAGTGTGTGTGCACACGCGCGTTCGTGAAAGAGAGAGAGAGATTGGAGATGCCATGACACCTGGGAAGATCAGAGGACAACTTTGTCAAATTGATTCTCTCCTTTCACCTTTATGTAGGTTCCAGGGATCAAACGTGGGTCATCAGGTTGTGTGGCAAGAACCTTAATCCACTGAGTCATCTAGCTGGCCCCAAAAAATGATTTTAAATAAATTCTGCTCTGGAAGATGTATATATGCCTAGCGCCAGGTAAATTTCATCGTTTGGTTCATCAGAGCCTCCAGAGATTTTTTTCTTTAATTGCAGAGCCTTGGACTAGAGCTATGTAGTTGCTCTAGTTGCCCACCTAACACTCACAAAGACCTGGCCTTGGTCCCCATCGGCACATCAAATCCGGTGCATGTCAGTCACCCAAACACTTGAGAGGTAGAAGCAGGAGGATTAGTTCAAGTTTATTGTCAGCCTCATAGTAAGTCTGTAACCAGCCTATAATACATGAGACTCTGTCTCGAAAAAGAGAAAAAAAAAAAAAGTGTGTAAAGCCTCCTCCTTTGTCTGAGATCTTCATGTGTGCAAAGCCTTCTCCTTTGTCTGAAATCTTCATGTGGGGCCCCCTCAGCCTGCGTTTCGCTCTCACACCCATCATACACATGCAGTTGGTCTGCGGTCTCCTCTGTGCAAATGTAAGGAGCACAGGCGCTCAGAGGAGCATGCTTGCCTCTGAGTGGCTGTTAGGTTACGAGCTAAGCTATGTGCACTGTCGTTCTCTGTATCCCACACTGGGCCTGAAACTTGAGAGTACTAATTAGGATTCAAAACACCTGAACCCAGGATTTTTATCTCTTTTTAAGAATGTCTTCCTTGCTACAAATATGTGTAGGTAGGTAGGTAGATAGATAGATAGATAGATAGATAGATAGATAGATAGATAGATAGGAAGTTAAGGTATATAAGTATACCTTAAATTATATACCGTCTCCCTTTTCTCCCCCCATAACTGACATGGTGGCATGCGGCTTTGATCTGAGCACTTGGGAGGCAGAGGAAAGTGAATCTCTGTGAGTTTAATACTGGCCCAGTCTATATAGAGCATTCTAGGCCAGCAGGGCTACACAGTGGCACCCTTTCTCAATAAGTAAATAAAAACTGTTGTAACACTTACTTTGTGTCAGATTGTCACACTGACAGTGTGCACTGCCTTGTCCTCTTCATCAGGCATGCTCTAAGCACATTACCTTTTCTTCTATTTTTAAGGCCAATAAAATCATACTGCATCATAACCTCACCTTTCCACTCCAGACTTCCAAACTTTCTTTCCACATTATTAAATATTCGTCTGTGGAATCATAATACAGTGGCTTCATGATACTTTGTTGCAGGCAAGTTTCATGCTTCTCAGACGGGAGTGCGTGTAACCCTGAGGGCAAAGCCACAGGATAAATGTCACTCATCTTCCTGAAGCACAAATCTGATTCGAAACTTTGGGAGAGGAAAAAACATTTTAATATCAAAATGAGTACAGATATGCCTCAGTGTAGGTTAGAGAAAACCTAGAGTCTTTAAAAGAAAGCAACAAAGTCCCAATCTACAATGTTGTTAGCCTTGGAGGTTAGAAACAGACAAAAACAGAATTCCAGTTCTAGTCCCTGTGTGTATGTATGCGGAGAAAAAATGCCCAGGGGAGAGACATGACTCACGTGCTGGAGCCTGAGCTGGGCAGAGACGCCAGTGTCTCTGGCCTGTACCCCCAACCCCTCCCTACGTGATATCACCATCAAAAGTGTGCATGCAGGCCTTGCCCCTGAGAAATCGCCCTCCTACGGTGATGGGCACTGGCTTCCACACAGTCCACCCTTAGCTAAGTGTCAGGAAGTATACACTTTATCTAAAGTATCTAAAGTCTTCATAGCATCTCTGCAAAGTATGTTTTACTCCCTACTCCTTTATTGAGTAAAAGAAGAAAAGGAGAAGGAGCCAGGCAGGCTGGTACATGCCAGCACTTGAGAGACGGGCCAGTCCCTGTGAGTTCAAGGTCAGCCTGATCTACATTGTGAGTTCCAGGCCAGCCAGAGCTACACCTGTCTCAAACAAACAAAGGGATCAGGGTAAAATAATATCACTTGTCCATCAAGCACTTCCCAGTAAACATGCATCAAAACCTCCCTACCAGCAAGCTAACTGACACCATTCTGCCTTCCAGGGCCTTGTTGGTGAATAGAAACAGTGACATTCTACAAGTCATTTATGAAGCAGAGTGAGTGTAGCATATCTGGAGCCCCATGGGACTGCCTCAGCCTGAACCCACCTCTTCCACCCACCAAACAGGTCACCTTGGCTGTTAGCCACTCTGCCCCTCATCTCCCTCTGTAAAAAGGGGAAAGTGATGGCAGTAACAACTTCCTAGGAATACTGTGAATTGATGTGCGCCATCTCTCAGAACGGAGCCACGTCTAGGTACCTTGCTGCGTGTGGCAGAATGAAGGAGTGGCATGGGTAACGGGGCAGAACCTAGTTCCAGTGACATTTAATTGACAACTACAATGAGTAGGGGTTTCCTAGTCGACATATACAGAGGCAAAGGAGGGGGCAGGGTGTTAGAGGAACACTCTAGTAGAAGGAGTGATAGGCAAAGCACAGCAGCAGCTCACCTGAGGGACTACAAGAATGTGGCTGGACCGCAGCCTCAAGGAACCGCCTGGGGTCTGCGGCTGGCAGCAAGGAGCCTGGGATTTTAACAAGGCGTCTCCAGGACCGGCATTCCTGTATAGCCCTGGGAATCTAAGTGTGGTGAGAGGCTCAGAAATGCTGAGTGAACGGCTGAACACGTGCAGCTGTGTTGGCTGCCTGTGTGTCTGTTGTCTTCCCCGCCAGAAAGCAAGGCTCCACCTGCATAGGTGTGTAGACAGCCCCATCCCACCTCCCCTGCCCCGCTGTACGCATTTTGTCAGGCTCTTTCTTTTGGGTGGTCTGAGTTTGGGTGGAAATCCCCAACATCTGGAACTCGGTGAGGAGGCCGGTCTTGGCTTTCCACACCGTATCCGGAGGCCCGGACCTAAGCCAGGGTGTTACAGGTGGACTCTGGAAAAGCAGCCTCCAGATGCAGCACCGGGCAGAGCTTCTGCTCTGTGGGCACAGGCAGGGGAACTCAGAGCACTTCATGCCAGCCTGTGCTACCTGACAGGGTGCAGGGGCTCAGCCAGACGAGCAGAGGGCGGGCTGAAATGAAGCTCAGTTGGTAATGTGGCTGCCTTGCTTGCCCAGGCTCTGGGCGTGGTCCCCAGCAGCACATGGTGGGGCATCTGCCATCACAGTGCTCCAGCGGCACACCTGGGGGGGTGATCAGAAGTGCAGCGTCATCCTGAGCTACAGAGGGGCTAAGGTCAGCCTGGATTTCATGACACTCTGCCAGAAAGAGAGAGAGAGAGAGAGAGAGAGAGAGAGAGGAAGAAAGGAAGTCAAGGAAGGAAGGGGAGAGAGAGAGGAAAAAGGGGGTGCCGCCTGAGTTAATCCCCAGAACCCACCTAGGAAAACTGAATGTGGTATCGTGCTTATGCAGTCCTAGCATTTCTAAGGGGAGAAAAGGCAGAAGGAAGAAGAGCTGGGAGCACCTGCAGCACAGCAACCGGAACAAGAGAGACCCAGGCTCAAAAAGCTATCCTCTGACGAGGGCATGCTCGCACACACTCTCAGTAAATACTTTTTTAAGAAGAGAAAGCCTGAGGTATGAGGAGAGATGGCTCTGTAGTTAAGAGCACTCGCTCTTCCAAAGGACCCAGCTTCAGTTCCCAGCACCCATGTCTGGCAGCTCACAACCATCTGCAACTCCAGCTCCAGGGGATCGGATGTCTCTGGCTTCCTTGGACACCTACACTCGTGTGCACATACCCGCATTCAGACACATACACCTAAAAATAATAATTTTCTTTAAAGGGAAAGACTAATGTTGAACCCAACCCCCACCTCTTAGATGGGGAAACTGAGGTTCAAAGAACAAGTACCCTTTGCATACCAATGGCGTGATAGCAAATCCTAGAGCCCAGATAGCCATTATTATCCCTCTCATCAAAATTTTCTTCCACATTGCCCTGACCTCTGCTTCCCAGCTGGCGTGAGGGTCTCAAGGAGGGGGAGCTGCACAGCCATAATCGCCCCCAGATCTCAGCCTTCTAGCACAACTCGGAGCACACATCACAAAAGCCAGAACTTTGGAGAGCAGGAGTGGGTGGGTTGTTCAGGGTCACAGCCTGCTTACGCCGTATTCTTTTTTTTTTTCTTTCCCCTTGCTTTTTTAATTGAGTTTGAGGTAGTTGTTTTGTTTCCTTAAGAAATGGAAAAGAATGAAGCTGCGTAAATACAGCAGTATTAACTCTGAAACCCCCCCTGCCATTTTAACTCTCTTACTGCAGAAATAAAAGAGAAATAATTTGTCCACCCACACGTAGCTCTTTCTGACGAAGGTAGGTGAACATTGCTTTGCTAATCGAGGATGACGGCTGGAAGTGGGGCCTCGCTGACTGAGCCAGGATTGAGAGGGAAGCCACAGCAATCCTGAGAGGGGCCAGACCACCAGAGGTCGGCTGAGCCCTGTGCTCAGACAGCCCAGAGTCACCAACCCTTCCTGTCCCGCCTTCCGCAGGTCTTCCCCAGCCGGTAGAGATGGAAGCACTGGACGAGGCCGAAGGACTCCCTGGCAAGCCGAAAGAGGTGCCACCACCCCCATCACCCTCACCGCCCTCCGAGCCAGCTCACAAGCTGCCACCTCAAGGTGCAGGGAGCCACTCCCTCACCGTCAGAAGCGGCCTGTGCCTGTTTGCTGCCTCTCAGTTCCTGGTAAGGATGTCACAGGCCTCACCAGGGCCTGAGGAGAGGGTGGGTTGTGGGATGGCCTTCTACTTCTCACCAAGATGGCTGCTTGGGGAGGATGAGGGGTGAGGGCCTTTCTGTTGGCCTCAGTTACTCCAAGTCTTCATGACGAGTCTGAAGGAAAGGCTGGAGCTCTGAGCTGCAGTCTCAGGGATTAAGCTCCTCATATCCTGCCAACACTCCTCCCCTAACTAAGAAGACAGGGATTCCTGGTCCTTGCGCCCTCCAGCCTGCAGAGCTCTCTCTGAGGGCCTCCTGTCTAAGGAGGCCTTTATGGGAGACTTCTCCTCTGCGTGTCCCTGCGTGCTCTCCTGTGGGAAGCGCTCTGCCTCAGCTGCCCGTGACCAGCTTGTCTCCTGAAGCTCAGACAAGCTGAGGCCTCCCCTGGGTACAAGGCCCTTTCCCTCCACTGCCCAGTCTGAGAGGCTCAGTAGCTTCCTGGGGGCCCAGGTTTGGGCTGAAGGTGAGCTCAGCAGGGCAGTATAGGGGAAAAGGGCTGAGGCTGTGCGCTCAGTCTGCTCCCCTGACTGCCCCAGCTCGCCTGTGGGGTGCTCTGGCTCAGTGGCCATGGCCACTCCTGGCTGCAGAACTCCACAGACCTCATCTCCTCGACGCTCACACTGCTGAGCCATCTGGGACCTGTGGTGAGTAAACTCTGGGGACCCCTGGCACGGTGGGTGGAGTGAGTCAGGCTAGGGCTTCCCCGCCCCACCCTCACAACACCTAGCTGGACAGCGGGTCCAAGAGACGCTGCCAGGAGCAAAGACCTTCTGTATACACCACACCCAGACCCAGGATGAAATAGATAAGAACACTGCCCTTCTCTGGCCCTCAGTGCGCTGACCAGGTTGTCTGATGTTCCCCAGGCCTGGCTGGGTTCGGGGACCTGGGGGATCCCAAGCCTGCTGCTAGTTGCTGTGACGGTGGGCCTGGTCATCGCCTCCACCCTGGTAAGGCGTCTCCTTCTCCTCGGCCTCAGCGCCACCCTGCCCTCTCGCCTCAAAAGCCCCGCTTCCCACCGGCTCCACCGGGTGCGTAGGCGGGATGACCTGGGGTCTGAAGAGGGCGGAGACGGTCTCGTCTCCTTCAGCCAGCATGCCTCCTGAAAGCAAGAGGCTCCTTTCTAGAAGTGATCGGGACTGAGAGAAAGGGCCAGGCAGGAAGAACCCGAGGCTCCACCCAGAAGGATTAAGTCCACAAGACGCTGGGGACAGGAAGGGAGAGTGGGGTGGAGCGCGACATGTAGGAGCCAGGAGAAGGTGTCTGCTCCAGACTCGCAGCATGGATGGCTCAGTCCCACCCGGAGCGCGGCAAGTGTACTCCCGGGTCCATGAGGCTCTGTCCTCCCAAGCAGGTGTGGCACCTCCTGAAGGCGCCCCCAGAGCCACCCGCCCCGCTGCCCTCAGAGGACAGGCGCCAGTCAGCGAGCCGCCAGCCCTCCTTCACCTACTCAGAGTGGATGGAGGAGAAGGCAGAGGGCGACTTCCTGGACCTGGACGCGGTGCCCGAGACACCTGTGTTTGACTGTGTGATGGACATCAAGCCTGAGGCTGACCCCACCTCGCTGACTGTCAAGTCCATGGGTCTGCAGGAGAGGTGGGCGGGGCGAGGGAGGGGTGGGCTTAGGTCACAGGCGCTGCTCCCTTTAGAGCATAGATGCCCAGCTCGTGGGTTAGAGCGCAGGCTGTGTGCGTAGAGCCAGGCTTCCTTTCCTTCTGTGGGGCTTGTTGGTGCCTTTAACTCATCTGTGACTTTGTAATTCCTTGTGACTTGTAGCTTCACTAAGGGCAGTAGATAGCATTTCTCAAAACCACTTAGCGTGGAACCCACTTCCCTGGAGTGCCCCCAGAGGATCCCATGAGCGTGCTCTGGGAGGTAGTGACACCGTTGGTTTAGAGCTAAGTAAGCCAGCTCACACGCAGTTTCAGTTACCCACAGAATGTCATAGAAAATACTAGATGACTCCTGTCCTGTTCCCTGACTTCTCCCACTTCTGGTGTCTATCCTGTTTGCCCTTCTGAATGAGGATTAAGCATCTTCCCTAGGGTCCTCCTTGTTGTTTAAAGATTCAGAGCCAAACTTCAGGCAGAGTGCAGGGAATCTTATAGAAGAAGGAAGAGATAGAAAGGCCTGGAAGGGTCTGGAGCTCCACAAGGAGACCAATAAAAAATTTGGGCCCAGGAGGTCTAACCAACCAAAGACCATGCATGGAGAGGACCTAGACCCCATACTCAAACGATGCCTGTGGGCAGCTCAGTCTCCATTTGGGTTCCCTAGTAAGGGGAACAGGGGCTGTCTCTGACATGAACTCAGTGGCAGGCTCTTTGATCACCTCCCCTTGAGGGAGGATCAGCCTCACCAGGCCACAGAGGAGGACACTGCAGCCAGTCCTGATGAAACCTGATACGCTAGGGTCAGAGGGAAGAGGAGGAAGACCTCCCCTATCAGTGGACTGGGGGAGGGACATCATGGGGAGAAGGGGAAGGATGGGGGACCAGGAAGAGATGAGGCAGGGAGTCACCATGGGAAGGAGCAGACAGGGGTGGACAGAGTGGGGGGGGACTGGGAGGAGATGAGGCAGGGGGTCACCGTGGGAAGGAGCAGACGGGGTGTAGGCAGAGCTGTGCGCTCCTTAGGACAGGTTCTGCTCACATCCCTCTTCCTGGAGCCCCTAACCCCTGCCCTCCACTGACCGCCTTTCTTTCTCTCATGCCTAAGGCTAATACCCTCTTCCATGACCCTTGCAGGAGGGGCTCCAATGTCTCCTTGACCCTGGACATGTGTACTCCCGGCTGCAATGAGGAGGGCTTCGGCTACCTGGTGTCCCCACGAGAGGAGTCAGCCCACGAGTACCTGCTCAGTGCCTCCCGAGTCCTCCGGGCGGAGGAGCTGCACGAAAAGGCCCTGGACCCCTTCTTGCTGCAGGCGGAATTCTTTGTGAGTCCCCCAAAGCGGCCACCCACCTTTGCGCTCAGAATGGTCCACCACCCAGCTGCTCAGCGCTCGAGTACGCCCATCTACATGGAATAGACTGCCATCCCCTCATCCTCAGCTCCCCCAACATCGCAGGCAAGCTCTCCCCTCTGAGACCTGATGTCCTCTTCTGGAAGGTCACTCAAGCGGCAGGGTCCTTGCAGGAGCTAAGGGGACGGTGCCATATGCCAGGCAGATAGGTTTACTTCTGGATCTGCTGCAGGGACTGTGCTCTAGGGGCCATGGAAAGAAGCCTCTTCGTAGTAGTGTAGTTCAGTAGTCGTGTACACGCGTAGCTGCATACACAAAGCGGGGTCAAGCCCCATAGGGAAAGAATGCCTCGTCTTCTCACTCTCCCATCTTCCCGCCCTCCTCTGTCTACGTCATCAAGGATGTTTATTCCCATGCTCCTGATTCTCCCCTGGGTTTCAAGCTTAGGCCTAACTCCATTCCGACCTCTGACTGACATATGTTGGATCTAGAAGGGCCCAAAAAGTAATAGCCTGATTTCCTGCCCAGTGTGCTTAGCCAGATAAGAGCTCAGCCATAAGAAAGCGTAGCCTGTCACCAGAGTGCCACCACAAGGTAAGTTTGACGCGAGACTCGGCAGAGTGAGACGAGAAGTACCTTTTGATACTGAGCCTGAGAAATAGCAAACTCCGCTGCCGCGGGGGTCTTGGCTTTGCCCCATGTGTCTGCACCCATAGTTAATAAAAACCCCAAGAGGAAGAAGGGAGGACCTGAGGCCCCAAAGCCCCCCCGTCAGGTAGCTCGCCCACCGTGCTGTTTGGGCTCAGTGCTCCAGGCTCCACCTGCAGAAACCGCTGAGTTGTAAGTCCCAGCCTGATGCTCCCTCCGTCCCCATCCCAGCAGGAACTGTCCACTGGGCAGTTCTGGGCCCGGCGACTGCTACCTTCAACATTCCCACTCTGTCTCTGAAAGCCTTCTTCCGCCACCCAGTCTCGGCTCCCACTCAGCTCCCGTTATCCTGTCCCTGTGAAAACAGTCCTTCGTGTTCCCTGCTTCTCAGTAGACACCATAGTTTTTGCCAGGGAGGAAGGAACACGGCCTGCTCACCCACTCCATGGACAGTTCTGCACATGTGTATGGTGGATTTTGTTTAATTATTATTTCTTTTGATTCCCACAAGAGCCCTAGCAGGTACCGCCATCTGCATTGTGCAAAGACTATATAGTGTATCCAGAAACAGGAGCAGCATGACAGGTGACAAAGTACGCAGACAGATTAGAAGGGTGTGCACAGGGAGGTGTCCCTGGGAAGGCATCCCAGAGGCCGTGGGTGGGGGATGGAACTGGGTGAACCTAAGACTGAGGGCCCATTCAGAAGTGCAGGGATGAAATGAGTGAGGAGACAGGCTTAATGAGAATGGCAAATCAGGGAAAATAGAGCCAAGTTGGGAAGATCACAAGTTCAAGGCCTGTCTGAGCTATATAGTGAATTTGGAGATGGTGAGACTTACTGAGACTCTGCCTCAAATTTTAAAAGCATGGGGGAGGAGGAAGCTGGGATTTTAGCTCAGTGGTGAGGTACTTGCCCAGCATGCTCAGGGCTCTAGGTTCAGTCTCCAGCATGGGGGAAAAATGGGGATGGGGCAAGAGAAGCAGGCTTGGGCCCAGAGACCTCACACAACAGGGTGCACTTCAGATGTGAGCTGAAGGGACAAGAGGTCTTAAGGGATGAGAAGCAGACTTCCTTTTTACTGGGCAATCAGGGAAGGTTCTTAGAGGAAGTGACCTCAGATAGACAGGATGTATGGAAGAGATAGGGATGGGTCAAGTGTTATCAGGAAGTGAACATCACAAACAAAAGTCCAAGGTGAGGGTGACTGGCTCCAGGAACACACGCCCCCAGAGCCACCTGGCTGGCTGCTGCAAAGAGAGCAGGGAGGAGGCAGCTACTGGCAAGGTCACTTTTGTCTTGTTCGTAGCCACTTGGCCTTTTATTGAACATCTGTCACAAACCAGGCTGACCCTCAATAGACAGTTGCTATGCTGTTGATTTTATGTCCTTGGCATATGCCAGCAACTAGTGTGTGTGTGTGTGTGTGTGTGTGTGTGTGTGTGTGTGTGTGTTAACTCACTTAGTAGTAAACCCTTGTCAAATGAATGTATGAACTCAAGAGATCCCCTGTACTAGCAGTTGGAGGCAATCAGCCCCTAAATTTGGACTTCTGAGAAGACCAACCTGAAGCTGTTCACAGTCCCATGTTTTTCTCACGTAGGAAATCCCCATGAACTTTGTGGATCCAAAGGAATATGATATCCCAGGGCTGGTGCGGAAGAATCGGTACAAAACCATCCTTCCCAGTGAGTACCTGCTGCCCCAGAATGGGAAGGGAAGAGGATCCTGTCATCTGAGGAGGCCTCAAGTCCAGAGTTGGGCCCTCAGAGATGCTGGACGATCCCTCAGGAGATGGGATGGTGGTGGGGACAACCAAGGAAGGGAAGAGAATGAGAGCAGAGACAGGTACATCTTCTAGCTCTGGACCCTCGCCCTTCCTGGCCAGTGGCATGGAGCACTGCAGAAGTAGTTAAAGAAAGGGTGGCTTCAAGGCAGTAAGCAGTATGAAGTGTTTTCATGGCCTTTCTCTTCTGAATGTGCATATTATATTTTAAGAAAACATTAAAGGCTCAGAGAAGTAACTGGCTTATCCAGAACTGCACAGCTAGTAAACAAGACCTTCTTTAAACCTGGGTGTCCATGACCCCAAAATCAGCTTTTTTGTTTACCTGTGTTCTGTGTGACCTGTCAGTCCTCTAACAGCCAGAGCCACCTCCCGAAAGGAATGGGGCATCGTCATCCTGTGATGTTCTGTCTATCACGGGGTGTGTCCAAGTGAGGCTACAAGAGAGCCCTGTCAGGCCTGAGCAGGGCTTGCCTCCTTTGGAGGAGGTTAGCCCGGGCGACCCACTATTCCCCTCCACCCCGTGGTGTCCTTGCCGGGTCATTTTCATCAAGGCCTTCTGGGGGCTGACTCAGAAGGAGGGGTAACTTGTTGAGAGTGAGTTCCCCAAAACCTCCTCCACCCAGGGAGTGGGGTGAGCCCTTAGAAAGCAGCTGGCCATCAGCCTCTCCAACAGCATGTAAGATGTCATGACTTATTTTTAACTTTTAAAATAGCGAGTTGTGGTTGCTATGGCTACACAGTCTCTAGGTAGCTACGTTTAAACAAAGCACCATTTAAGGCCAGGATGCCTTACTGGGCTGTTCACCTCTTCTCTCTGCTTAGCCTCCCTGTTCCTGTTTTTCCCTCTGTCAGGGGCCTTGCTACCTGGGAACCCAGGGTTCTAATGTCTTCTTAGAATCCACTGGAGTGAGGCTGCTGGGTTGCTGGCAGGCTCCCAGCTCCTCCAACCATCCCTGAACCTCCAGACCCCCACACCCGACAGAGAATGTTGCACAGCCAGGCAGAGTTGACCCTGAACCTTAAGAGACTGGACTGGAGTTGGAGGGCAAAGGACACAGAAGGCTCAGCAGAAGCAGCATCTGGGATCGGGGACACCCTGAGCTTTATTCCATCATTGATCACACACATTTCCTGATCCCCATCCCAGGAACTGAGTTTGGATTCTGTACACAGAGCTCTCTAGCAAAGGAAGCAGCTCTGTGGACAGTCCCGGGGTGAGCACCAAGGCAGCAGGCCATGTGAAGACCAAGATTCAGGGTCACGGAGGCTATCCCGTTCAGCACAGTACCCCAAGCTCCAAAAGAGTGCTGAGCAACCGGGAGACACTTAGAGCTTCTTCTCAGATCCAGCCCCCTGCCTTCCATCCTGACTTCCGGATGACTCTGTGGGGCTTCAGTCTTCCGTATTGCCCAGTTCTAATGAGCACCATTTACATATAGTACACTGGCTTAAATGTCCCTGGGAGAGGTGCCAGGCAGGGCACCCTTGACCTTGACGATTCTTACTGGATTGTGCTTTTTCTCCTTGCCCTTCTTGCACACTGAGGCACAGCAGAAATCTAATCATGTCATCTTCCACCTTAAGTGCAGCTGCTGTCACCCTCTCTAAGCATCTGGCTCCTCTCCAGCTTCCATCTCTCAGCCTTCACCTGTGCACCTGATCAGATAAAGTGTTTCCCGTTTCTCCTCCTGGTCCTTCAACCCCTGAAAGGCGCCACATCTTCGGGGAATCACAGCCACCCTCGCCCAGTCACAGCCCCCCATCCTGTCCCTCCAACCCCAGAGCTCTCAGGCCACACACTGCTTGCCTTCCTGCCCTGCATTCTACCCTCCTTGAGGCCAGGGCCATGCATGTCTTGTTGATCCAGATGGTTCTTCTCATAAACACATCATCAAAGCAGAGCCAGCACAAACCTGGGGCTGCAGTGACATCAGGCCAGAGAGGGCAACACCCGCATCTGTCCTCCCAGCACTGAAGCTGGGTAGGAGAAACCGAGGCGGTCCAGGAAGAGCTGCCTGCGTGAGCTCTCTCTTCTGCTGGACATGCAGAAGCCCCACCTGTCTGCTCTTACCCCTCCCCATCCCTGCACCACTTCTGTATGCTTTCTACAAGACCTGTCCATCCCATCCCACCTGCCATGACCCAGGCAGAGACAGGGACATGCAGCTGGCTGGAGATGAGCAGCGTGTGCCATCACCTTCACACCCGGACAGTTCTAAGCTCCTCTCCATCCCCATTGCGTGATGGAAGCTCGTGCTTACAGCAGCTGCCTGTATGTAGCATTTGCCATATGCTGCAGTGGGCGCTGCCTGCCAGTCCAGGGGCTCAGCCTTTCCTGCTAGCTCTTTTTTGCCATTATTCCCTTATTTTGTATGCACATGCATGTCAGTGTATGGAGCACACTTGTGGAGGTCCAAAGATAACTTGTGAGATTCAGTTCCCCCCTCCAGCACATGGGTTCCAGGGTTCAACTCAAGCGGTCAGGCTTGGCCGCAGGGTCACCAGGTCACAGCGGCATCCCTGCAGTGCCTGAGAGAGCACATACTGGCCATGATCCCGGAGGAGATATGGATGCTGTAGAGTAGGACAGAGAAGTTGGGCGCTGTGCCAGAGGCCCAGATCACAACCTCCCCTGTCCCTACCACAGATCCTCACAGCAGGGTGTGTCTGACTTCTCCAGACCCCGATGATCCTCTGAGTTCTTACATCAATGCCAACTACATCCGGGTATGTAGCTCCACCCTAAGAGCCTTCACTAAAGGAGAGGCCTGAGCTGGGGTCTAGCCTCCAGACTTGTCCCCAAGCATGGTACCTACAAGCCCCAAGAGGAGCCCGAGTGTGGGATGGGCCCCGGGATGCTGCCTCTGCCCCTGATCTGACAGGCTGGTCTCGCGTGGCTGCAGGGCTACGGCGGGGAGGAGAAGGCGTACATCGCCACACAGGGTCCCATCGTGAGCACCGTGGCGGACTTCTGGCGCATGGTGTGGCAGGAGCGCACACCCATCATCGTCATGATCACCAACATCGAGGAGATGAACGAGGTAGGGACCCAGTGACACGCTCGCTGCTCCCTGCCTTGTGCCCCCACATGAAGCATCTCATTTGCACATTACTCTTGAGGATCTGTGAGCCTGGTGTGCACTCAGCTGTGCACATAAGGAAATGGAAGGTGTTGAGAGGGGAGGTATGCGCTCAGGGCCAGGCAGAGCAGAGCCTGGAGCCAGCCTCTCCCTCCCCGCCCGGTGGCTGTGACTTCTGCCAGGATCCTCTGCTGCCTCCCAGTTTGACACTGATGTGGAAGTTCATGATGAACAGCTCATTTAATTGAATCTCCATAAAAAACCTTTCAGAGGGAGGTTGGAGAGACAGCTCAGTTGCGGACCTGGGTTCTACCCCAGCAGCCATGTAAATAAATCCAGGTGTGGTATGTACATCTGTACCCCCAATGCTTGGGAAGCCGAGGCAGGCAGCCCTGTGGCTCACTGGCCATCCACTCTAGTTATTTGAGGAGTTCCAAGCCAATGAGAGATCGTGAACAAAAAAACAAAGAGGACTGCACATGAGGAACAACAGGGAGCGAGGCCACACGCATGCACATACAACAGACAGAGTCCTATAAAGGGGCATCATTTCCGTTTTTTCAAATGGGGAAGCTGAGGCTCAGAAATGAGGAGTAGGTCATAGATTATGAAGCCAAGATTTCAACATAGTCCTCTCAAACAAGCCCTGTTGTCCTTGTATGTATGTCTGTTGGTCCCAGCAGAGAGGATGGGGAGAGGAAAGGGAGTGTAACACAGCCTGATCTTGGTCCTTGCAGAAGTGCACGGAATACTGGCCAGAAGAGCAGGTGGTCCACGACGGCATGGAGATCACCGTGCAAAAAGTCATCCACACAGAGGACTATCGGCTGCGACTCATCTCCCTCAGGGTGAGGCCTGGAGCGAGACCGGGCAGGGCTTTCTGGGAGGCTTAGTGGAGATCCCCTACTGAAAGCATGCTGAAAGGCCTACTGTAGGTGACACACGGCCCCAGGCACTCCCAGGAGGTTCCAGTAATCGGGGGTGAATAAACCCGGACACTGGCAAGGTGGAGGAGCCTCAGCTGTACTTTCAAATCTTATTTGCATGTGCCATTGAGCTCTTCATAACAGCACAGAACAGCTGTCCCCTGCACCTTCTCCAAGCCACGAGCGCCTGGGGCAGGAGGCTGCAAGGGCTTCCAGCACTGTCCTTACAGTACCTGGGGGTTCTTCATGACTCTGAGTCCCTTCCACCGGGCTGCCGGCTTCGGGTCTGAGACACCCAATAAATTGGCCACCAGAGGGCAGGCACTCCTTGTTGCTTTAGGGTGCGCAGTCACGGTTACAATAAATGTCAGGAAAAAGGAAAACACACAAAATATGAGCAACACAAAACAGCCCAGAAGAGTGGGGGAAGGCGTCCTTCCTCCCACCTGAAAGTTGTGCTTCTTCTAGGATAAGCAAGAGAGGAGAGACTGTTCCTTTGGGGCATGAGAAGGTTCTATTTTGGAAAAGCAATGAAATGTGTGTTTGCAGAAGGTGATAGCCCAGAAAGGTGGAAAAGTTAAGCCGGGCACCAGGAAGTTGATCCTCCTTCAGAAACAGCCTGGAAAGGCCACTGAGGACCAGCCACAGGGTTCAGGCACGGAAAAGAACTCAGGGCCTGGCATTTGTCCCTCTGAGCTGCCCTGTGTCTCACTGGATGCAATGCTAGGCAAGATGCCAGGGTGCCTTAGTCCCCAGAGGGCAGTGTCCATATGAGCATGTAACACCAAGATTTTCTGGAAACCCTGAAGGCCAGGGAGTGAGAGGCAGGTACTGTGGTCAGGGTCACAGCCGTGTAACGTAAGGACACCAGGAACCAGCTTCCAAATAGAAGGGGTGGGGCAGCTCATCTTCTCAGTGCCATGGGACCAGCTGAAAGAACCAAGGTGTCTTGGGGTTTGGGGGTATTTGCAAGCACCTTCTCTGGGTGTGGTCCTGGGTTTGGTACTGGGAACATAGCTGTGTCCTCAACTCTTTCTTCAAGGAACAAACCCACTAGTGTTAGGCAAGGAAACAGAAGGACACTCTGCCAGATGGCATGCTCTGGGTGGAAATGCGGGGTGCTTCCTGGAGGTGCTGTATGGGGTCTGGGAGGATCGGTAAAAGGTGACGAGGAGCAGACAAGTGAGAAAGCTTTCCTAGCATGCAGGAGGAGCAGCCGCGTGTGCAAGCACACGTCTGCCCATTTCCTGGATCACATCCTCCCGGAGCAGAAAGGGCGATGAAGTGAGGAAACACTGGGGTCTCTAATCTGGTATGAATCCCAGTTAAAGGTGTGCGCTCCTGATCTACCTTTAGATTCCTACAATGGAGAGGAGCTTTCAGCATATGAAGTTGGGGGGTAGGAAGCCGCATTGGGTCCATAGTGAAGGGTTTCTTGGTTTAGTGTATGTGGGGTTGGGCTTTCAATACTAGGGACTTGGCCCAGGGTCTCACTCAGGCCAGAACTCTCCCCCTGAGCTGCATGCCCTGCCCTCTTTATTGTTTTGTTTCTTTGTTTGTTTGTGACAGTCTCTAAGTTCCCCAGGCTGGCCTGGAACTTGCTCTGTAGTCCATGCAGGCCTTGAGCTTTGTGGTCTGCCTACCTCAGGCTTCCAAGTAGCTGAGATTATAGGCTGGGAGCATCAGACCCAGCCATCTAAAGGACACAGTGCAGTGTGTCCTGATTTGTGTTGATTTTGATGCTCTGGGTCTTTGATAGGGAGGAGGAAGGTAGGGTCTTCTCATGGTGGGATGGTAGAGCAGAGCGGAGAGTGGGGGCAGATAATGTGGACAGTGGGGTGGGCAGGCAGAGCATAGTCCCTGTGCTCTGGGGCATGTGACCAAGGGGGTGTGAACATCTGTCAGGATAAGGAACTTCTAGATGGTAATGAATTGGAGAAGAGGCTCTTTGCCTTTCTTGGATGCTTTTAGAGTTTAGAGGCCAACATCTGTCTGTCTGTCTGTCTGTATCTCTCTCTCATGCACAACACAGGCATGAATGCATACTCACATACCAAGCTTAGGTCTGAAAGCATTTACATATATCTGGCGGGTGGCGGTCTCTCTCTCTCTCTCCTGGGCAGAGAGGGACTGAAGAGCGAGGCTTGAAGCATTACTGGTTCACATCCTGGCCTGACCAGAAGACCCCGGACCGGGCCCCCCCACTCCTGCACCTGGTACGAGAGGTGGAGGAGGCAGCCCAGAAAGAGGGACCCCATTGTTCCCCAATCATCGTTCACTGCAGGTGGGTTCTCTGGCCACCTACTGGGGCAGGGCCACCCCATCCCTGGGCTGCTCTGCCCCTCACCCCAGCCATCCCCTTGACCCTCAGTGCAGGGATTGGGAGAACGGGTTGCTTCATTGCCACAAGCATCTGCTGCCAGCAGCTGCGACGCGAGGGCGTGGTGGACATCCTAAAGACCACGTGCCAGCTCCGTCAGGACAGGTCAGCCCGCTGATCAGGGGAGGAGAGGGTGGCAGTGTGACGTGTGCATGAGTCAAAGGACAGTTGGCAAAGCAGACATAGTCTGTAAGGCGGATGGGGAGCAGGAAAAAGAACTGGGAGTGAGCAGATTCCAGGCAGCTCTTCTTCTGGAGGAAGACAGAGGAGAAGCAGCTGGTGGGGAATCCGGGGCGAAAGACAGGGGTGCGACCCAGAAAGGAAGGGGCAGAGGGCAATGACGGAAAGAGTTGGTCTCTCTAAGCTGCAAATAGCTGGTTCCCCTAGTGTTTGGGGAACACCTCCCGCAGCCCACTGCATCTCTACTGGGCAGGGGTGGTATGATCCAGACGTGCGAACAGTACCAGTTTGTGCACCACGTCATGAGCCTCTTTGAGAAGCAGCTGTCCCTCCAATCCTCAGAGTGACCACCCTCCTCCTCTGAGCCTCTGGGCACTGCCCAGCTTGAGCCTGGGCCTTCACCCCAACTCCCCAAGATCTTGCCTTGGGGCCTGGGCCTGCTCCCTGTCTCCCTCCCCCTCATTCTTTCTCCTCTTCAGTCTGCTCCCCCTCCGTTACCCTGGCCTGGTCCCTACCCCCAGCCTAGCTCTTCTCCTGTACATCCTGGGGAGGGCGGGGGAGGAATGTGCCAGGCCAGGCCTGGGGCCCCTAGGCCTGACCCACACCGTACAGACTGGGGCCTCAGTTTTAACCATGGTTCCACTGCTACTTGGTCCAAAATGTTTCATGCCACATCCCAAGTGTCCTATGACAACGTGTTCTATCTGTCCATGCATCACAGCTACCTGTACCAGACACTGTGTCCCCTCAGCCAGAAAAGGAGCACTGAAATGAGCTCCCCAGGCAGAGACTCTTGCCTCTGAGAAGCTAGATTGCATTTGTCACCAGGATGAGGTTGGCAGGGCAGAGGAGAACATGTTGGTTGACAGACATCCCAGCTAGGAAAGGTTCCTGGGCAAGAGTGAGCATCACCTAAATGGCTTCTGGGTGCTTGGTACTCAGTAAGCAGCCTGTGAGGCACTGGAGGGAAAGAGGACAGAGGCAATAGGGGGCCCCAAAGAGCTGGGCCCTGAGGGGCCTCTAAGAATAGCGTGGGGACTCAGCTCCAGAACCTGCGAGACACCTTTCTGTGTCACTGTGGGAAAGCCCAAACGTCTTGCAACATGTGGCTCTGCGTGTGTTCCCTTGCCCACATGTGTGTTGAGAGCCCGTGATCAGGTCATGCATGACTCTCCGGCAACATGTGTTAGCTTGGAGCCATGTGTTTTTATTGCTGACTTTAAATATTTATTCCACGGCAAACAGAGACATTTGGTGTCTTTTTATAATTCGCTCGTGGTCATTGAATAGAGCAATAAACAGAGCATTTTGAGCAAAACGAGCCTCCTGGGTCTGTCATTTCCTGTTGTCTTCGTGCACCCCAGACTTTTGTGCCTCTCCTTCCCAGCCAACGTGCATGAAGTTGGCCCTGGTGCTCGCTGGCGCCCCCTGTGGAGACTGAGAAGATATACACAAAGCTGGATTTGAAAAACCAAAACCTATTAATGCTTCTCACTGGCCTTCAGCCCCAATCCACAGTACACTGCACCGTAGGAACCGCAGAGATAAGTCTGTGGAGCCTCCAGGGAGGCCAAGGGGTCGGCCAGGGGACATTCCCATCACACGGAGGCCCCTCTCTAGCCGGATACTGTGCTCCTTTTCTCTGGAACCCCACCTGAGCTTTAGACACCCTTATTTTTTCCTTACTGTCCATAGAACCCCCTCCGCGGTTGGCGCTGCTAAGGCCCGGCCGGCCGGCCAGCAGCCCTGACCTGGGCTGAGCTCCATTTGCCAGCAGTTGCACACAGCTGCTTTTACTTCATCCCAGCAGGAGATAAAGACAGAGGAGACATGTTCTGGGTGGCTTAGGGTCTAGTTCCCCGGGGCCCTTTGCAGCGGCTTGGGAGGAGTGCACTACTCTCGGTCCAGGCTTTACAAGGAAAACTGCTGGTTTGTAGCTGCGGTTGGGACCCTTGGGACCAACATGAGGTAAAATAGACTAAAAGGTCCAAGGCAGGGCTGCCAGCTCACACAGCTCTCCCGACCAGAGGATGAGCCCTTCTATCCAGATTTCAGGCTGAGGACTAGGAAGGAGGAGCTACTGTCTTCCATCTCCCCCATAAGGCTACACAGTGCAGAACAAATGGTGTTCCCAGGACTTGTACAGGGTGGCACCTGAGCATGGACTGGCACCTATGCCATCCTGAGCCCCCCTGTTCGGAGAGGCCCCACCATGCTGAGTGAGAAGCTCCTCTGTAGGTCACCAGAAATGTACTCCTGGCCTGCCACCTCAGCCTCTCTCAGGCCTGGCCCCCAGCATTCTTTCCATTCCTGGATCCAGCTTGCTTCCCTCTCCAGACTCCCCCACCCCACCCCGGGAAGCTGTGTGCCATCAATATGAGCCTGAAAGCCCCCAGGGTATACAGCGTCTAAGGGGGATGATCAATGCCTGATATCAGAGCGAAGAAGAAAGAGACTGACCAGCCTACTTCCAAGACAAACACGGAGACTTCAAGCCTTAGGCACAGCGTTCAGGGGCTGGAAGGCACAGGTCTGTACAGAAGGTAAGGCTTCCTGTCACTTTCCCTGGAAAGAGACATAAATGGCCCTTTCTGTGCCAGAGGGCCATATGGAGTGAAGCTGAATATGGAATGGTCTCAGAACCCAGAGATGGAAGCAACCCAGGCACAGATGTATGAGATGGAAACTGCGAGTCAGCCTCAGAACACCTGCTCAGAAGAGGGCTTTGCGGTCCATGGAGGCCGCTGGACAGAGGCAGGGCTGGAGGAGCCAGGAGCTCAGATTCTGTTCTGGGTGATACATTTAGATAAGTCACTTCAATCAGACGTTCTGCATGTGCACGCTAGGTCCTTAAACACTGCCAGGCAGGTTAACCAAGAGGCAGGTGCCCTGTTCCTCGAAACACGGGCTGTCAGCAAGAGCCAGGAAATGCCTTGTAGACTGGCATACAGAGAGAAAGTGGGGGCAGAACCGTGTGTATGACAAGTCACCTGCCGTGCGCCGGGAGGCCACATGTGCATGTCCATGTCTGCTGGAGCAGCTTCAAGGGGAACCCAGACTGCAGGTCCCTGTCGGGGGCTGGTAGGTGAAAGGAGATGTTTATGACAGTTTATATTTTTAATGTATTAAACAGGTTCAAGAAGAGTATAAGAAATAAAAGTTAGGCCTCTGTTTTGCCATGAGACAAACAGAAGCAGAGCTGTGGAAACACAGTCACCTCTCGCCAATCATATATTCCAAGTCCCCAGGACCCAGAAAAGAGAGCTGCTCTGCTTCCTTGCAAGGCCCACCCCAGAATGGCATAGTCATAAATCCCTTGGTTGGCCCAACTGAGGTACCAAGCACTGCCATCCTTTCTGGTGGGCCTCTCCACAGGTACACTCCCTGTGCGCCCTGCTCAGTTAGCTGGCTAAGCTTGAGCCCCCTCTCCTCCCCCTCTAGGAACCTGGGGTCGTTTGTGTTGCTGGGTGAGGGAACAGGCCCACTAGCCCCTGTAAGCAGCCACAGAATGGGAAATGGGGAGTGAAGGAAAGAGGCCAGAGGAAAGGTCCACTGCCTGCCTGCTCTCCTCTGCGTTCCCTCTTGCCTTGTGTTCACAGACATGCCACATGTAAATATGCAGGCACACACACACACACACACACACACACACACCATCTCCTACTCCCCTATCTTCGGTGGCCTCGTCCTCTCCCTCATCCACACAGGTGAGTGCCCAAGCCTGCTGTCGCCATGACAACCACTCACCACCAGCAGATGGCACAAGAACATGTGTCCATGGAGTTCTCCAGCTCCACCACCCACGTGTAGACCTTGTCCCAGACAACCAAGATTGTGGGAGGCAAGTGGAATGGGCGAGCGAGTGTGAGAGGGTGGTCAGGAAAGCCTTTCTCAGGGGTGGGAGTTGGCCCTTCAGGAGCCCCCCATACCAGCAGCAACCTCTTCCCAGTTTGTGCTTCTAATCCAAAGCTTGAGCTGGGTGGTCAGCACAGATAAAACCTCTGAGGAAACAGACTGAAAAAACACGAATCCCGCAGACATGTGTGTGTGTGTGTGTTTGTGTGTGTGTGTAGGGTTGATAAACTCTTTAATTCAGAGCCTGGGGCAAATGACCCGAGCAAATGTCTCACTTGCAGGAAAGTAGATACTTTATCTACCATTTGAATAATGCTAATCTTGGTCCACTCTAAAAATGGGAGACCTGCAGTCAGCGGAATTAGATGGAGGGAGAGAGCTGTGCGAGAGAGGGGTAACGAAGGTGGGGGTCAGTTGTGGGGAGGGCAGGGAGGAAGATGAGGTGGATTGGAAGCAGAGGACCTGGAAATAGAACAAAAATCGGCCAGGGAGCATCTCTGGGACAGAAAAGGTCCCTGGAGGTTTGGGGGTGACCCTAGCTGAAATCCCTAACAGTGGGGGACGGAGAGCCTGAGCTCACCACCTCAGCCAGGTGGGACTGCCGGTGGAGAAAGGGCGACACCAACCCACCCGTAAAACCTTTGCCCCAAAATTTATCCTTCCTACAAGAAGTGTAGGAATACAAATGGAGCAGAGACTGAGGGAACGGCAAACCAGTGACTGGCCCAACCTGAGATCTACCCCATGGGAGAGAGCCAACCCCAGACACTATTAATGATACTCTTGCAGACAGGAGCCTAGCATGACTGTCTTCTGAGAGCTTCATCCAGCAGCTGATGGAAACAGATGCAGAGACCCACAGACCCACAGCCAAACAGTAGGCCGAGCTCAGGGAGTTTTTTGGAAGAGTGAGGGGAGGACAGAGGGAGGTGGAGGGGTCAAGGACACCACGAGAAGATCTACAGAGTAAACTAGCTTGGGCCCCTGGGGGCTCACAGAGACTGAACCACCAACCGAAGAGCTTCGTGGACTGGGCCTAGACCCTACACATATGCAGCAGACGTGCAGTAGGCCAACATGTGGACCCGGAACAATGGGAGCAGGATCTGTGTCTGACTCTGCTGCCTGCCTCTGGACCCCTTTTTCCTAGCTGGGCTGCCTTGTCTGGCCTCGGTGGGAGAGCTTGTGCTTAGTCCTGCTGTGACTTGAGGTGCCGGGGCGGGTTGGTAACCCTTGGGGGCCTCCCCTTCTCTGAGAAGGAGAGGATAGAATGGGGAGAGGGGTGTGAGGGTGGGACTGGGAGGACAGAAGGGAAGAGGCTGGGACCAGACTATAAAGTGATTAAATAAAATTTAAAAATTAAAAAAAAAATTGGGGGGAAAAATGGGAGACCTGGCCACTGGTAGAGAGAGGACAAGAACATAAACAAAAGCCCTAAGTGATCAGGCTCTTAACCCTTGGGGCCGGACTGCGAGGAGAGAGCACCAAAGGAAAGCTGAGAAGGGGTCTCAGAGCAAGACTGCCGGTTTTAGCTGTGTCTCTGGTGGAAGTGATTAAAAGATGGATGGACGCCAGGTATTATCTTTCCTCACAGCCATTGCATCTGCCTTCAAGGTCCCAAAAGGACAGAGCCTTTCTAAGTCCTCTGTGTACAAGGTCATGAGATAAACACGACACCACTCTGGCCAGTGAGAAAGAGCCTTGAAGTAAACCAGGCAGGTCTCAAGGTCTATGGCCTAAACCAGAAATTGCAAAATGGCTTCTGGTCATGATTCTTGGCCCTAGCTGTGAATGAGAGCCTCTCAGCAGAAGGGTGGGGCTGGAAAAACCAGCCATGCCCGAGTCTCTCCCAGACCAGTAAATCGGGGAATGTTTTTAAGCTCCTCGGGAATCCTGGTGTGCAGCCAGGGTTGAAAGGACTGACCAGCAGAGCTCAGGCAGGGACTGGGGAAACACGAATGTTGGAGAGAGAGTGGGGACACTTGAGAAAACACCCTTCTAAAGAGACGGTTGTGGCCCACCTCCCACTAACTAGCAGTTGAAATTCACATGTGACATCTTGCCTTTCTCATGGACAGCTACTTTTTGTTTATACGTCGCGGAGGTCAAATAAGAGACATCTGGGCAAAGTACGGACTTGGCCTGGCCTGCTTAAGACCTCTAGTTGCTATTTAAAATAAAGCTGTGAGAGCGTCTTAACAAAATGTTTTCGGTCTCAGTCCTTTGGACAAGTGCAGATGATAGCAAAAGCACCTACTTCGCTGGGCTGCCCTGAAGATGAACAAAATCTCCTCTGATATCTACCTCACACAGTTTGCAACACAGGGGAGGGGCTCCATAACAGAGCAGTTGTTATTCACTGATAACTCATCAGCCGTGAAGATCTTCTGTGGCTTATACCACAGTGACAGAGCACTGGTCTGGAACGTGCAAGGCCCTGAGTTCACTCCCCAGCATTGA